AAGTGACACAGTCCTAAAAGACAAAGGAAGACTAAATGAACTTTGTACATCAAAGGAAACAGAACTTGCCACTAACGGCAGTGGCTGATCCCAAACAGACTTCAGGGTCAGGAAGATCGGTGGGTGGTACAAGGGGACAGTATTTTGTTCATGTTAATGAATTGCCTTTGTGTTTCTGAAGATGTCAGCTGCTGGAGGATAGCAGATGCAGGGCACAGGAGACTGCTTCACACCAGGTGGACAGTGACATGTTTTAGCTTATCTCAAACTGAAACATTTTTGGAAACTTGTGGAGCACGGTGGCTCCCACCTTTAATCCCAGAACTCAGGAGGCAGAGGCAGGAAGGGCTCTCTTGAGTTCCAAGCCAGCCTGGTCTGCATATTAAGTTTCAGGCCAGCCAGGACTACACAATGAGATCTTTCCCTAAGGGGGGCGGGGTGAGGGGAGAATCAGAAATGTAAAATTAGATTTTAAAAGCAGACCTACATTAAGGCAGCATTCTCGACAGCAGGACTCCCCCGCTGGATGAGGGATGAGAGTAAAGTTGGGAGAGAACTTAGCTCTAGCCTTCGTGTTAATGAAACTGGACTCTACACGCCAATACAGCAGAAGCCACTCGGGTCACGACAGGAGAGCACTAAGGGGGAACACTGGGGGGTGGGGGGACACACAGCAGCCTGCATGAAGAACCAGGAAAAACTGGGGGGTGGGGATGGGGTAGTGCTGTGTGCCTGTATCTCCAGCACACAGACTACTGAGGCCAAAGGACTTGAGTGTTAGGCCACCAAGAACACCAGGAGATAAGTACAGTGACTTATTTTGTTTTTTTGTTTTGTTTTTAATAAAAAAGACTTAATATAAGTGAGTATATTGGCGCTGGCTTCAGACACAACAGAAGAGGGCATCAGATCCCATACCCTAGAACAGATGGTTGTGAGACGCCATGTGGTTGCTGAGAATTGAACTCAGGACCTCCAGACTCAAGGACAGAGACTTTTAAAGAGGAGATGATTGTGGCAAGAGGATAGAGGTAAAACCAGACAGCAAAAACAACACTGGGATGTAGTACTTCATCTTGGGATTAATGTTTAAAGGTAGGGCAACCCAAGCCCTCTGTGACACCAGCTCACACAGGCAGCCATACTTTGGGGGAACACTTCATAAAAAGCACAAGGGATGATTAGCCATTTCTATCTAGTGCCGCCTCAAAGCCAAACCTTCTGTTGGCTCTTCTGACAGCACTCGGCATACCTTCCACTCGCCGGAGTACCTCATCACAATCGCTCGGCACTGCCTGTTGTACTCCGCAATCCCCATTTTGGCCACATCGTCCGGCCCTTTGATCCCCAGTGTCTTATCAATTTCATACTCCTGAAAATATTAAGTAAGACGGTTATGTTAACAGCCACGCCTCGTGAAACACATACAAGTAAGCCGCAACAGAAAGCAGAGTAGCTGACAGAAATACATACAAAGAAAACTCTACCATCCAGACAATGAGAACTTAACAAGACCGGGGACTCAGACGTACCACAGGTAAGCCATGACAGTCCCACCCAAATCTTCTGTCAACGTGAAACCCGCTCTGGTGAGCGTATCTCGTAACGATATCTTTGATTGTCCCCGCGAGTATGTGTCCATAGTGAGGCAGTCCAGTAGCAAAGGGAGGCCCATCATAGAAGGTAAACCTAACAGATAATACAAAATACTGTCAGTCATTTAAAAATGGCAAACATTCAGGACATTTTTGTATCAAGTAGCTATCATATTACAATGTTCAGGGGTGGGAGAGTGGGATCAATAGGACTAAAAAATGAGCATAACTGATCAGAAATTTACCAGAGGTCCAGCCTTCAGAAAGGCCATTCAGACAGAGCTGGGGGAACTGCTATCCAGTCATGTGCTTTGTTTACTTATCAGGAGTCATCCTGGGGTACCTCATCAATGAAGCAGGGCAGTGGACACCCACTGTAAAATTTTCCAAGGGAAGGTCATGATGAAATCACTGATTTAACATTGGTAGTCTTTCCTAGGAATAGAGCCTAAGGCAGGAAATACTGTAGGACCCACCCAAGGAGGGCAGAGATGACTGTAAATGCAAGAAAGAAAGCAGTAAATACTTTCCATTCCAATGGCTTCTGACAACCAGGAACCCGCTCATTCAGGGTTCACTACTGAGTTCCTACTACACGGAAAGGCACAGACTCTGAGAACATACAGGTGAATGAAGGGTGTGCATTAAGGAAACTCAGTACAAGAAACAGCTATGTGTAAGGAGTCTGTCTTTACTGCAGAAACTCACATACTTTGGCCTGAGTTTTGACTGCTTTAGGCATTCCTGGAAACAGTTATGTTTGGACCAAAACTCCAAGATTTTTTCTTCTTCAGCAGGAAAACTGATGTTTTCTGGAACTTGTTGAACCATTCTGTTGCTGAAAGAGAAATCAAATTTGCTAGAGTCATTGCAACTCCTAATTTAGGAATACCAGGCTAAAAAATTATTAAAGTGTATATATGTATATGTATATGTATATATATAAATAAAATAACCACCACCACTATCTATTTCAGAGTGTTTTAAATTTTTCCCACAACCATTAGCCATCACATTCTCTCTAGTTCAGCCCCTGGCAACTAGTAATCTTGTTAACTCTGTAACAATTTGTCTGTATTTCATATAAGAAAAGATGTTCATGCTTTGCGGTGGTGGCACATGCCTTTAATCCTAGCACTTGGAGGGTAGAGACAGGTGGATCTCTGGTCCAGCCTGCTCTACACAGTGAATTCCAGAACAGCCAGGGCTTCACAGAGAAACCCTGTCTTGAAAACGAAAATAAAAACAAACAAAAACCTACCCCTATCACCACCACCACCACCACCACCACCCCTGACATTTTTCACATGATTACCTACATGTGGTTCTACTTAGTTATGAAGGGTCAGTCATACTGTAAAACACATCCATAGTCCATACAGTTCTCCTACAATTTATCAGTTTTCACATTTGAATTGATTGGCCTTTTTGGCTAGTTTCTAAGATTGTTATGAACATTAAGTCCAAACTTCTACAAGGACATGTTTTCTTTCTTGTGTATATGGCTAGCTATGAGTAGAATTCGTGGGTCATGTAACTCAGTTTCTAACTTTCTGAGGAACCATCAAAACGTTTGCTGCAGGGATGGCACCACTCATATCCCATGAGCAACGAATGGGGTGCCCACTTCTCTATATCCTCCTCACCACCCCACACTAACGTCAGAGCTACCTCACAGGGCACAAAGTAGCACCTACATCTTACCACATGCTTCTCATCCGTGTATATCATCTGAAGATTAATGTTTATTTGCCTTTTGCCCTCTTTGAGTTGGACTAACTTTTCATGGCTGAATTTTAAAACTTCTAAATTCTGGATACAGTCCTTCTCTGGGGTCCCTTCTCTTGGTGTTTGTATTTAAGTCCTGGTGCTTGTAGGGGCCAGAGAAATATCTTACTTCAATCACTTTTTTGTGCTAGATGGCTTTAAGTCAACTTGCCACAAGCTAAGGTTATCTGAGAAAGGAGCCTCAGTTAAGAAGATGTTTCTATAAGATGGGGGGGGGGAGGCGATCCTGTAGGGCATTTTCTTAATTAGTGATTGATGGAGGAGGATGCAGTCCACTGTGGGTGGTGCTACCCCTAGGCTGGTGGTCCTGGGTTCTATAAAGAAGCAGGATGAGTAAACCGTGGGGAAGCAACGCAGTAAGCAGCACCCCTCCATGGCCTCTGCATCAGCTCCTGCCTCCCTCCAGGACCCTGCCCTGTGTGAGCTCCTATCTCAACTTCCTTCAGAGATGAACAGACATGGAAGTGTAAGTCAAATAAACATTTTCTTTTTTTGGTCATGGTGTCTTGTTGAAGCAAAGAAACCCAAACTAAGACACTTTACCCTTTTCCTTCTTTTGTATTTTTAAGACCTTAGGCCAGGCATATCGGTTCACACCTTTACTCCCAGCGCTTGGAAGGCAGAGGCAGGCAGTTCAAGGCCAGTCTGGTCTATATACTGAGTTCCAAGCCAGCCAGAACTCTACACTGAGATCCTGTCTCAAAACAAACAAAAACCCCGCTTTATTTATTAATACAATTGATGTGTGTGCGAATTCTCATTTAAAGTCTAAACAAGCCAAAATTCAATTAGAAGCGGACAGGGTTGCTAATGATGAAAGAACAGAGAAGACAGAAACTTATGTCATCAGGAATCCCAGCAGCCAAGAGTGACTGATCTAGGTGAGAAGGTCTACACCCCTCAACCAGACTTGAAAGCAGCAGAGGTTAAGACTGAAGCTACCAAGAAACGTTTGTGACCAAAATAATAGAAAAAAAGACATGTTTCTTAAATGTTCATTAATTTTTCATATTCAAGTATCTCTTGAGTGTTCTATAGAAAAAAAAACAGAACAAAACAGATATGAAATTTTCCTAAAATAGCCCTTTTCAATCAGAGGACAGAATTAAACATTACTGATAAGTACATGGCATTTTGGATCAGCTGTTACTTCAGCATTCAGCCTTTCAAAGACAGAAAGAAGTTTCTGCATTTATTGATCTACCAAGGGTCCTTCGGTTCAGTGAGTAAGAGGTTGGTAAGAGATTGTCAGGTCTCTACGCATCCATTTTGCCACTTCTAATCTACTGCTGTGACTGCCATTGTCTCTGGGAGCCATCAGAGAGGCAGACTCATCAGGGGTCAGAATGTGCACTTTAATTAGATCCCTAGGAGAGGCTCCTGCAGAACACACTTGGGACACTATCACTCATAGTGCCCTGACGACTAATGAATGATTCAGGGACATCTACCCCAACCTCTGTAAGAACATGAGATCTAAACTTTCTGAGTAGCGACAGTAGAGCTTTTATTGGACTTTCTATGTTGCTTCTGCTGTTCTCCAAAGACTGAGAACCACGGTATTATTCCAGCAAATACAAAGGCGGGGTGCAACCGCACAGACTGCTTAAGGAAGAACAATGTACCAGTGACCGGGCTATGGCAGCTGCTGAGAAGAAAACAGCTCCCATGCATAAATCACAGGGTTTTTCTAGCCCATTGTATCCACTGGAGAACTGTACCTGCACAACAGCCTCCAGCAACCACAGGGCGGTGGGGGACAGACGCGGGTGGAGAAGGGCCAGTAATACTGCCAGGTATGCACAGAAACGGCACCATCTTCCCCCACATACAATCCAGGCCTTTCTTCCTTATTCTGTAAGTCCTTCAGGACATTTTAGCCTCCGCTTCCTCCTCTGAGATTTCATTTCCTTTTGGAGGCAGCCCCATGAAGTTCAGGGTGGTTTGGAACTCCCCGGGAAGCTGGGGGATAACTGACTTTCTGATCTGCTGGCCTCTACCCACTGAATGTTGGGATTTACAAGTGCTTTGGGTTTTTGTTTGTTTGCTTGTTATTTGTTTTGATGAGAGTTCAGCCAGCTTCTGCTTCCTTAAGTCTTAAGATCAAACGTGCGTACCACAACTTTCCAGTTCACAAGTGTGCTTTTGGGAGCCTGGGGCTTGAACCCAGAACTTTATGCACACAAGGCAGGCACTCCATCTACTGAACCACATCCTTACCTGTCCATTTCTATTTCTATTCCTGTCCATTAGCTATTTCTACACTATTTCCACCAACCTTTGCTTAAGATGATCTCAACTTATCTTGAGGAAGTATCCCACAATGCCATGGATACTGCTGCTTATGTTGGCACATACCTACCATACTATCACTTGGGAGGCTGAGGCAGGATGACAATTTGAAGCCTGGCTAGGCTCCAAGGGAGAGAGAGACACACACCATCATCTTACTTTTTTACACCTGACTTCTATTTTAACTCTGCTAAAGGGTTCCACTATCCATGTTACTCCTTCTAATTTGCACAGGTATTATCTGCATGTATGTGTTAGGCACCATGTGTGTACTGGGTTCCACAACATGGCATTTCATTGTCACCCAGGGTGTCTCTTCACAGGAACAAGTAACTAAGATATCATCATCATCAACGACAACAACAACAACAACAAGAAAACCCCACAAGCCAGTCAAACAGAAACATCCCACCACATCCACACGGTACTGGATTCAGGACCCGCTGGATGCTCAAGTGTCTTGTAAATATAGTATTAGCATTATTCCATGCATCTGCCTGTGTACTTTAACTAAGCTTTAGATTACTTACCATACCTAACACATTTAAATCCTAGATACACAATTACTATACTATATTGCTTAGGAAATAATGACCAAAAACAAAACAGAAGAGTTTGTACATGCACGGTACATGTCACCACCACAGACCTAACCGCGTAGCATGACCACTGCTGGGTTGAAACCCCAGGTGCAGAACTAGTAGTTAGAGAAGACCAACTCTAGACCAACTCTATACTTTCTACCTATACACTGAGAAACAAAAGAGCAAGTCTAAGATACACCGATTTGTATTATGTGAGTTTTTCAATGATTTTTGCTTATTTCACTAACACACTAAAAATGAGAACAACAAATTCATTACGTTGGAAACCAAGTTACACTCTCACATACTCATCACGTACACATCCTAAGCCAAAATGACAACGACCCCCTTATCTTCTGTTCCGACAGGATGGGTTCATACAAACCTCTGAGTATAATCTCTGCCCACCTTCAGTCCAGGCCTATTGGAGACCCTGATAAAGCATCCCTTCTCACCTCCAAACCCCAATAGTTTGTTCTGTAGGGCCACCAACCGGGAGCTTAAACTGCATTACCAGATTCTGTGAGCCCAGGACAAGCGTGCAGCACATAACCCACCTTGGTACCCAGGGAAAAGTGCACGCAACTCCAGGCAGTTGGGAGAAGCCCGGAATCCAGAAAGCCTTCTAGGTTAGTTCTTTTAAACAACTAACTTGGCAGTGACCTCAACCACCTTCCGATCTTCTCCCGGATACTATATCACCCTGCATTCTCACACCACCCTGCTCATAAGTCACCAAGGTCCCACTAAATGACTGGGAGACTTCTAAGGATCCCAGTCCTTCACCCAATTGAGTCAGGCTAGAATCTGTGCGCACCTCTGAGTTCTGCAATGTTACTTACTCTCCCTCCCAAGAAGGCTCTCTGGAAATAGCTCTGTGCCCGCAGCTCACTCACAGCGGGAAGCAGCGTGCTCCTTTTTCACCGCCTCGTGCTGTCTGGAGGTTGTTACACGGGCGGGCCTCGCTCTGCGGCCCAAAAGGGCGAGGGTGCGACTTACCTGGGAACCCGGAGTGGAGCTCGCTCAGGTTGCAGCCGGCGACCACGTTCCGCGTCTGGAGGTGATGCAATACTGACAGTGGTAGGCTCAGCCCCTTGCGCTGCCCAATCAGCGTGTACTATCCAACACCCACAAACAACACGTGTGGCGATTGGTCCGTGCAGAACTGCAGAGCAGGACGGGAGCGTCACTGCAAAGAAAGAAGACACTCAAAAGCCCTGGCCAGACAGGGTAGTGGCTGCTCACTTTTGGCAAAGTTTTTTGCCTCCTAAGTCTTGGCTTATGAACGAGAGACACCCATTCTATTTGGGTTCATATGTCAGTACTCTCTCTCTCTTTTTTTAAAAAAGATTTATTTATTTGTACATAGTCTCCTGCCTGCATGTATCTCTTGTAAGCCAGAACAGTGAAAGCTAGGGATTGAACTCAGGACCTCTGGAAGAGCAGCCAGTGCTCCTAACCTCTGAGTCATTTCTCCAGCCCCAATATTCTTAAATATATGTGAATATTCTTAAACATATGTGAGTATATTTAAGATCTCAACATTTGGCACCATATAAAATTAGTTTAGACTCAGGGTCTCATGTATCTCCTGTTGGCTCCGGAACTCCTAAGCAGCCAAGGAAAGACCTTGAACTGCAGGTCTTCCTGCCTCCACTATGGAGGAGTTACAGAAATGTCGCATCACGCCAGTTTTTATATGGTGCTGTGGATAACCCGGGCATTTGTACACCATAGCCACACTGCCAACTGAGTTAGATTCCCAGCTGTGATGGCATCTAAAATTTATGCTACAAATGAAACTTCTGACAAGTGACTCCCACAGTTATTTTGGGAACAATACAAGTTAACCTGGAGACTGCTTACCATGTGGTAAATGAAAAGAGAAGGGAAGAGGGCCTGGCAATAATCCGAACCTTTTATTGAACCATCACTGGGATGATTCATTTTAAAAATTTGCTTATTTATTATTATTATATATCTACTTAGTACTCTTCAGATCCGGTCTAGAACAAATTAGAACGTTGACACCAATCTTCGAAAGTTTTGTCTTGATAAGTTGACAGCGTTAATTAGGTGAATAAGTGCCTATTTTATTCATTAATGACAGAAAAAAACAAACAAGAACTGGATTTGGCCTAAATGAAGTAGAAAGCTCGGCAAGTTTTAGAACATTTTGATAACTGTTCAGTGTTTATCCAACAGTTCTAGGCCCTACTGTGTCAAAAATTAGATGCGGTGTTTGCCTGTGCTGTTTGCTTTCTTAATTATGAGTATCCTTATTAACCAGAAATATTGGCACTTTTTAAGTTTTGCATTCTTTAAATTGCCAATTGGTTCACCTCATGTCTGTCTTCTGTTCAGAGTGCAGAAATAGAACAAAGGCTCCCGGCACAAAGGGAAAGAAATCTACGGGTAGTTAGACTGGACCAGACTGTTTAAAAATTGGATTGAGAAACACTATAAAGTACTGTTGAGAAGTAAAGGAACAGTTTGTCTAGAAAATAATATAAAAACTTCCAAGATTGGGTGGTGGTGGTGCACGCCTTTAATTCCAACAACTCTCAGGAGGCAGAGGCAGGCAGACTTCTGAGTTTGAGGTCAGCCTGATCTACAGAGCCATTTCTAGGGCTACACAGAGTAACCCTATCTTGCAAGCAAACTACAAAACAAAACCCAAAGTCCTGAAAGATGTTAGCTGTGGCCAAAATAATACAACTTGGATTCAAGAGTAATTTTTTTTTTTTTTTTTTTTTTTAAGGAGCAAGTCAGGTAAAACTGTCAGTGATAGAGTGTTTGTCAAGTCTGCAAAAAGACCTAAACAAGACAGCAAATCCAGAATGTAAGATAGGCAAACTGTAGCGATAACTACTGGAAGAAGCAGCTCATGTTACATCTCATGACAGAACTGGGAATGGGGCAGGCTACTTGCCAATGCTTTGAAATGGAGTCCTTGGCAGATTTAAGTATGGATACCAGTTCTTTTGTTCGTCCCACCGTTTTAACCTGTAGAAAACGCAAACAGTGGCTGAGCTTATTTTTGGCCTAGACCTTGAGAGACTGGCACCATGTTTCCTGCCTCTGGAAACATGTACCCTTGGCTTCTAATTGCTACACTTTAAAGAAGCCCTTGGATAGACATTGAGTGGGCCAGGCATCTAAGCAGAACCTCTATCTCCAGCTAATGCACCCCAATGACTATATAGAGTAGAGAATCCTAACCAAATGAAGTATACATGGGCAAAATTGTGGCTTTTACTAGGATTATTTGCTATGAAATAATGAGGTATGATTTACGTCAAGAGAAGGTATAACACCTTAAGTGTCTTTCCACATAGCTTTTAATATCTTAAGTCTGAAATCCTAGAAACAGAGAAATCAGTTCTTCCAACTGTTTAGTTCTTTGTAGTCTATTTTACTCGTACAAATTATTTCATCTCTCCAGTTCCTGTATACTCTTTTACTTGTCCAAATTATTTCATCTCTCTAGTACCTGTATACTATTTTACTAACAACAGTAATAACAAAAAACCCATAGGAATCAAGCATCTGTGTGACAGATATAGGAAGTGCAGACATAATGGTTAACAACCCAAGAACAGATCACAATAGATTTTTGTACTCAAGGAAAATGTGCATCAATGAATACTACACAGACTAAGATGCACATCATAGCTCAATATGACTCTTAGGACTAACACTTTTGTACTGCCCATTTTAATAGGAAGCATGTCTGTGTTGAATCTAGGCTAGATTTAGTGAAATATCAAACCTGCACTTCTATCTGGACTTAGGATCTGACTCCTGACTATTGAGTATAAGTGGTCTTTTAGTTCATTAGTATTTTTCATAAACTCACGTTTAATTGGATTTTT